CTTCCTTTTTTTTTTGTTTCTTTTTTTTCCTTCTTCTTTTTTGTTCTTTCTTTTCTTTTTCTTTTTTTTTTTTTTCTGCACTCCTTCTTCTTCTTGACTTTATTTTTGTTTCTGTTTTTTTCTTCTAATGCCTAAACCGCACCTCATATTTCCTAAGAGAGTTTCTTTTCCAATCCCTTTTCCTATTATTGCATAATAACAGATCCTAAAATTCATGCATAAAACAAAATAAAAATCTACAGATAGTTATTTTGGATTGTAGGAAACCAAACTAATGGGGAAAAACAAGTGAAATCATGTTTGTGGCAAGCTTCAAGATCAATTACAGATAAACCAAGAAAGAAACAATTAAAAGGGCAATCAAGCAATTCACAAAAGAGAGGAAGAAAGAACAAAATATGAACAACAGAAAACACAGAAAGAAAAAAAAAATTATGAACAATGCACACCTGAAGAAAAGGAAAAATCAAGACTTTATTCTCTTGAAGTCCAAATACAAGTTTCTGCATTTCCCCTTTCTCTCTCCCTACTCTCAGATCTCTCTTCCTCCATTCTCCTCCTCTTTCCCCTTAGAAGCCGAAGGCCCCCCCCTTTTTATAGACAAAAGGAAAACCCAATCCTAATGTGCTTCTAATACTCAAATCCCAATCCCTAAGATAACAACTCAATCCTATTTGGAATGGGGTTTCTTAGTTTTCCCACATCTACCCCCTTTTCTAGTCTAGATTCATACCTTCTATGCTTAGAACTCCCTTCTTTGAATCAATTTCGAACTCTTCTTTTGCGCCTCTTGTTGATGACTTTCAATCTTCGTAAATTTCTTCAAAACTTAAGTAGATTTAGGGATAAGTCAAGGAAATTTTTGTGATTTTTCTGTTTTGAGAAGGGCTGGCGACGGAGCAAAGAAAGAAACTAGTTTGAGGGGCTAGGGTTTTCAACCTTTATTTTAGCTTACAAGCAAAACAACGTCATTTTGCTAGTTTCTCCTCTCAACCCTTCAAGCTTCACACTTTTGCAAAAATGGTCCGTGAGCTTTTACTTTTATCACTTAGCCCCAATTAAAATTGGGTTATGATAGTTGCCCCCTTTTTACTTTTCTTTTGTAAAAGGAAAAGTGAAGAATAAAAGAATAACTCAATTTTAAGTTTTGAAAACAATGTGTAAGTGAAATTTCTTTATCTCTCCTTCTTCCTCAAATGTGGTCTTCATCTAGGATGTGACTTCTAAGAGATATGACTTCTAAGATGCGGTCTTCATCTATCCTTCTTCCTCAGATGCGGTCTTCATCTAGGATGTGACTTATAAAATGCGGTATTCATCTTATCCTTTACGAGATGTGGTCTTCATCTTATCCTTTGCGAAATGCGGTCTTCATCTAGGATGTGACTTCTAAGCTGCGGTCTTCATCTTATCCTTTGAGAGATGTGGTCTTCATCTCTCCTTCTTCCTCAAATGCGGTCTTCATCTAGGATGTGACTTTTAAGATGCAGTCTTCATCTTATCCTTTGCGAGATGTGGTCTTCATCTCTCCTTCTTCCTTAGATGCGGTTCTTCATCTAGGATGTTACTTCTAAGATGCGGTCTTCATCTTATCCTTTGCGAGATGTGGTCTTCATCTCTCCTTCTTCCTCAGATGCGGTCTTCATCTAGGATGTGACTTCTAAGATGCGGTCTTCATCTTATCCTTTGCGAGACGTGGTCTTCATCTTTCTTTCTTCCTCAGATGCGGTCTTCATCTAGGATGTGACTTCTAAGATGCGGTCTTCATCTAGGATGTGACTTCTAAGATGCGGTCTTCATCTTATCCTTTGCGAGATGTGGTCTTCATCTCTCTTTCCTTAGATGCGGTCTTCATCTAGGATGCGACTCTTAAGATGCGGTCTTCATCTTATCCTTTGCGAGATGCGGTCTTCATCTAGGATGTGACTTATAAGATGTGGTCTTCATCTTATCCTTTGCAAGACATGGTCTTCATCTCTCTTTCTTCCTCAGATGCGGTCTTCATCTAGGATGTGACTTCTAAGATGCGGTCTTCATCTTATCCTTTGCGAGATGCGGTCTTTATCCTTTGTCAGATGTGGTCTTCATCTTTCCTTCCTTAGATGCAGTCTTCATCTAGGATGTGACTTCTAAGATGCGGTCTTCATCTTATCCTTTGCGAGATGCGATCTTCATCTCTCCTTCTTCCTCAGATGCGGTCTTCATCTAGGATGTGACTTCTAAGATGCGGTCTTCATCTCTCCTTCTTCCTCAAATGCGGTCTTCATCTTATCCTTTGTGAGATGCGGTCTTCATCTCTCCTTCTTCCTTAGATGTGGTCTTCATTTAGGATGTGACTTCTAAGATGCGGTCTTCATCTTATCTTTTGCAAGATGCGGTCTTCATCTCTCCTTCTTCCTCAGATGCGGTCTTCATCTTATCCTTTGTGAGATGCGGTCTTCATCTCTCCTTCTTCCTTAGATGTGGTCTTCATCTAGGATGTGACTTCTAAGATACGGTCTTCTTCTTCTTCTTCTTCTTCCTCTTTTTGAGATTAAACTTCATTTCGTCTTCTTCCTAAGATGCAACTTCATCTAGGATGTAATT